TTGATCGCAAAGGTTGGCTATTATGATCTATTAGAAAATTGTGAAGAGCGTGAAACAGGGCGAGGGCTCACCGATCATGCTAATCCAGACGATAAACATGCGGAAGCCCTTAGAAGAGTCGAGTTCGGCAACACGAAGAGACTGAATGAGATCAGAGATACGGTCCGAGAGACCCATCATCTTTCCTCCCTTGACCTGATTCAACGCCGATAACGTGGTGGTGACTCGCTTCTACACCTTTGAATTCCACTCCATACGGGCAGGTCCCATCCCTCGGGCCACTCTACCGGTTGCGAAACTCGAGACTGCCACAATCACTCAGCGAGAGGCTATACCATGGATGCTAAGGTACTTGAGTATGTGGATGGTATTCTACTCACCCATAGCAGGAATCAGTATGAGGAAACAAGCTGAGCCTATCTGTCTCTCGAGTAAGAAGATGGCCAAGCCTAATTCGATAAAACTAGCCCAGATATCATGTATCTTTTGCAGAGCACTGGCGATTCCATCGATATCGGTGCTCATCAATGTCACAGCGGCGGAGTCCTTCGCAGTAGAAGCGTCGAGGGCAATGGCTTTGTCAAATATAAGGGCAACGAGGCCACCGCGGACAGCAACGATAAGACGGTTAGCGCAATGTGTATAATGACATTTAGACAGCTAAAATCCGATTAGTGGAAAGGTCATACAACACCATACAGGAAGTTACTAACAGCAATGCCGACGTATATAAGTGCGGTAGCTCCAACGAGACCACCGGCCACCTGATGGGAATCTTGATGGGTTGAGGCACCAAGACTATTCACGATGGTGTTGATCAAGAATGGTTGCGCGAAACTGAACCCGGTGAAACACAATCTTGGTATGACACCAGCCCAGAATATTGACTGGAAAGCCCGAAAGGCTGCACAAGCGAGACAATACCGGGCACTTTTGTCAGCTGGAAAGACATCAGTTCAACCCGAACGGGCCCCTTTGTAGATAACCAAGGATTACGGCTAGAACCTACCCAGCTGCCATTTGTGGCCCAACCGCGATATAAGGCTAGGAGAATGGAGTTGAGAGTCCCCGGCCAAGGTAGACAAATCGTCAATTCCGAGAAAGGAGTTGAAGCCTTTGCGGAAGGTCGTAAGCAGCCACCAGAAGACAGAACGACTCCATAGCCCACTGGAAACCTCCTCCGATACCTTGGAGCCGGTCGAATTTTTCTTTGGAACCTCTTCCAGGGCCAGGATGAAGAGTTTCAGTGCGAGCGTCCCGGCAGTTATTCCTCCTAGAGCGACTAAATCCGATCGCAAGAAAAGAGAACGGACAATTGAAAGATCGAGAAGGATTGTGACTGATAGATAAATGCTCAATGTCATCGAAGGAGAAGGAGAATAACGATGTTCTGCCCAGACCAAACAGCCCATAGCCAGAATCTCGACCAGTGAGAGGGATGCTGCTGCCACCGAGATTTCAGTGTGAGGTGTTGCCGGGAGGCTCCATAAAACCAAGACAACTACTTGGAGGATGAATAGGACAGTTAAACAAGCCTTTTGTATCTCGTCAGCGTCAGACAGGCGAACAGTGAAGTGATTGGTCGCTCACAAGTTTGCTCCACAGCCTTTTGGACCTTGCGGTCTTCCACGCGCCAGGTTTCCTCGAGGCGAGCACAGCGACGCGTACAGGCGCGACAACCAGAAACAGGGCTGAAGGTCCGATTGAAAAGATGCTTTGCTCAAAGAGGAGGGTGAAGTCGAACTGGCCCTCGAGCTGAGGGCCGAATGATGCGTCTGCTGAGACGTTCATTACTATTGCCAAGCTGTGATCTGAGATGCTCCGTTTACGATCTCATGAGAATCAATTGATCAAAGGGCGCCTGCTGCCCGGTTCAAACAGTCGCGCGGGAATCGATTTGGACTTGCTGCAGGTACGATTCCTCGCCCCTGCCCGCGGACCACTGCCAAACCTCACAGTGACATCTTGACCGCACTGCGCCTCAGGCATCAACTGCCCATATCCTGTAGGTACCTAACCAAAATTATGCAATACGCGGCTAACTGACATGTCATCTTTGTTACTGACAACAGGCGTGTCATTACTTGACTTGTTCCAACCCGGTGCTGCGGTGACTTCAGCATTCCTGCATGTCTTAGCATTTTGAATCCTCCAGGCTCGGTGTCTCCAGGATTGGAAGGTGCCTAGGTGCTCTATAAGGGGTGTTTTCACAGTGCCTGGCTTGATTGGGGCTGGCACTGCTGACTGCATAGCATCCAGGTAGTTACCTAGGTAGGTACACTCATTTCTTCGGTGAAATGTCCCGATATGTACTTATTTCGCAGGGGATGAAATACTTCCGTCTATATGTATATTCCTAACATAATTACCGGCAGCTCATCAGGGTACAAGTTTGGAGGCAGCCGTCATCGTATATCATTCATTTTCACAACAAAACCAGGAGGCACATAACCTATTAGGCTCTTTGAGATGAGTGGTGCCAGCCCCGTGTCCGACACTGTCGGGGATATCCCTAGGGATGGGCAAGTCGGAGTAATTCATCGCGCTCCATGGCTGTTCCGGTTCTAACAACTTTCAGTGCCTTAGAGGAAACATTCTCCAGTCTGGAAATTGAAGGACAGAGCCAGAATGAAGGCGAGCCTCCTGAAGCAGCTTTTGACCCTGCCCAATGTCTGTTTTGCAGCCACGACAGTGTCGACCACGAGAGCAATCTTGAACATATGAATAAGAAGCATGGGCTCTTCATTCCCCATACCGAGCGCCTGATTGTGGACACACAGACGCTCGTTGGGTACTTCCACTTGGTTATGTGAGTAATAGGTCTTGCTTCATCATTCAATCCCCGCTTCACCTTTGTGGATATGGCAGAGTGTCAATATGTTGCCCCTTGAAGGATAGAGCACCTTGGATGAGAGCCAGAGCTTGTCGCGATTTGGTTCCAGTGCACGGAAAATTAACAATCGTTCAGATTCGATTACTCGGAATGTCTCTACTGTGGTTCCCAGCGACGCAACCCGGAGGCTGCACGGCAGCATATGATGGGGAAAGGGCATTGTAAGATCGACATCATGGACCAAGAATCGGAGTTCCGGGACTTCTACGACTTCGACATCGTTTCTGAGGCAAGCGACGCCAGTGATAACAGCGATGGGCCGGGAACGGGTGAGAGAGTTCGCCAACGACAGGATCCTGTGGCATTCGCTCGGCTCGACGATAAGACAGTTCGTCTCAAATCAGGCAGGACATTGGGACATAGATCTGTTGCCAAGGCTCGTCCGTTTCGACGCAGATTACCAGACAATCGTCGTGCGCTTCCGGAGACATATCCAAGCAACCAAGTGGAAGAGGAAGAGGAAGAGGCGGGTACATCATCTTCTACGCCCGCTTCCCGAGATATGAGTAATGTTAAGTCCGCAAGTGCACTGGCGAGATCTGCTAAACGAGAGGTCGTCTTCGAGAGACAGTTGGCCAGTCTGCGCGCCGAGGATCGCCGTAGCCTGGCGCACCTGACGATGCCTGAACAGCGAGTGGTGCTGGCTAGGACCAAGGCACAGGTGGAGAGGGCTAGGAAGGAGGAAAATGAGATGAAGCTTAAGATACAACTCAAAGCAAATAGGTCTATTAAGAAGTAATAAAGGGAATTTAGCAATGTGTTGTACCTCTCCGTCGAGTCTCCGCTTTTCGCATACCTGCCTCATCAATCTTCTAAGTGCTCTGTGGTCAAGCTGGACAGTCGCTCGGCAATCATGTCCCACGTCTCTACTCTATCGACCTTGCTTTTCACAGCTCGTGTCATCCCGTTCTCCGAGTCACGTACTTGATAGGTATTCTCGTTCTCTCAGAGTGATACAACCGTGGGACAAGGTTTTGTAGTCGGAGGACTTCGGACGCGGAAATCCCGTTACCATAGCTTGCACTATTGTGTGCGATACCAGACGAGCATCTCCCGCAGCGCTAAAGCCAACGTCCATAAGAGGAAGTCTTCCTTGCTGTCAGTATCTACATTCGTGCTATGCTCACCCCCCAGTGCTCGTGCTAGATACCCAGACCCACAGCAAGTGAGCCTTGTTCATAATGCGCACCTGCATACTGCTAGTTTATATTATTGGGGGAAAGGGAACAAACTCAGCGAGACAGTCAGACGAGGCTAGCTTGAACAGCCTGCAGAAGACTCAGAGACTAGAGCAGCGCAAAATCCAGCTTAGGATAATGGCGTCGACGTGTATATTGTGATCCTACCATCACATAAGCTATGATACTCAAGCTAGAATGTGGATAGTGTTATTTCGAGGTTCAATTGGAAGTGGTTGTTTATTGAGCCAGGTTACACGGAAGTGGTAAGATATCTCATCACTAAGACTGTGATGCCGTTTGTTAGGGTGGCGTGGTGTTAGGCTGAAGGGATCCAGACGCGCTCATGTGACATCGGCGTTCTACAGTTGCTGAAGCCTGATTCGGCTCCTCTTAGAAGGACATCTACGAGGCTTGCACTTAAGATAGGAAGACGTTTAGATATAACGCATATAAATCTGTATGTGTCGAAAAAGACTTTCTGTTCTGTGATCACCTCTTCCTACTTGAGATACTTAGCTAGATTTCCGACGTCAAGGACGGGTTATCTAGGTACCTGCTAGGTTGTTGGTCTTCCAGAATTCCTTGGCGCGTTCATTCACATATATTCATGTTTTGCGTTGCAAGGCTGTTCAGATTGAGAAATTAAATACTGGGCTCAGTTCCATTCAAATTTACCATTTTTGCAGTCAATTTGTGCTTTGTTCAAATAGAGAGTGACTGTGAACTGTGCATTAGGTTGTGTGTGATTGATAAAAATGACCTTGCGTACTGGCAATCCTCCACATGATAATGCTTCTCAATGCTGCCTCTTTTGATAATGCGAAAACGAAAAATGGAGCCAGGAACGTTTGTTGGAGCGTAAAGTGTACTGGCAGCAAGATTATAATACAACAATTATTGGAATTTTTCACCAACCAAACATCACCGCGCAAATGGTTTAGTGGTAAAATCCATCGTTGCCATTGCGAGTCTCAACCTTGAGATTTGAAATTCGATGGGCCCCCGGTTCGATTCCGGGTTTGCGCACTCTTTTTGTCCTTTTCTCCTTTTTTCTTTTGAAATGAAAAAGCCCTGCTGAGACGTCGCTCACACGAACCGATATGAACAACGGCATTCACGCCTCCAACGCCAACACCTGGGGCAAACCTGTGCAGAAGACCAATCAGCTTACACACACATCTACAGATTCGGAAGGCGAAACGAATCCCGACCTGCTTTTGGGATAAGGAGGACATCATGCATTTTCGTGAATGGGCTCCGGCTCGACAATATTGCCCGCAGCATGACCTTGTGCCGGCGGGTATGCTGCAGACATCTCGGGCTGTCGTCCGGCACCGTAGCCCGCGTATGTACTTCTCCGGTGGTGTCGGCGTCGGTGCGGATGACGAGTCCGACCGGCCCAGTCATAGGATGGGTCTTCATCATACACTGTGCGGCTCGGTATCTGTGCTCTACCGGCGCTGTCGCGAGGAAGTGTGTAAGACGCACTCACACCATCCCAGTACGAGTACTCGACGGAAGAATCGTCTTCAGATGGTGGCTCGAACATCCAGACGTATATGCTGCGGAGAACGTAGGCGGCGCTGATGATGGGTGGAATCAACTGCGCGGCGGTGTCGAGGTCGTTCACGCCGCCGATGTTGTTCCAAGAGATAACAAGCTCGACAGCCGTGGTGACGATGGCTGCGACAACAAAGTCTGTGAATGTGCGAAGCTGCTGTAAAGACACAATGCGATTATGTGAGATTCTGCGGAAAGAGTTCTGTAAGCCTAAGTCATGGCCACATCCTTCTAGTCGTCATTTTGAAGATGCGGAAACACGGGAATGGCTACCTCCATCTCCTCTTCTTCCTTCTACGCCACCATCGACACTCATCGAACATGCCTATCCAGTCACAGAACAAGCAGGTGCCCACGGTGAGCATCGCAATGTGTATAATGATATTGACGGCAGTGAGAGCCAAGCCGTCGAGCGGCAGCTGGCCAAGGAAAAAGCCGTACTGTTGACAGCTTGTATCAGTTCCTGGCGGCCTGATGTAGACCCCTGAGCACCAGAACCATATTTGCAATCCCAAGAGTATGCCAAACATAACTGCCATGGCCGCCCTGAAGAGCCAGCCCATTTTCGCTCTCGGCCATCGCTCAGGATCCCACCACGGTTGCCAGCAAGTTAGAATTCTCCAGAGAAAGACCGGAAGCAGAAAATATAATGTACCGCACAAGATGAGCAGAACAACGTATATCTCGGCAGGCTGGAGAATCTCCAGATTTAGAGCTAGCCCGATAGAAGTGGCGAGGATGGTGAGCCCATTTAGGAATTTGAAGCTGAGCGCATCAAATTCGGAAATCCAGCACGTGATGATCATGCCAAACCACTGAAGGTAGAAAGATATTCTGATACCGAGACCATAAGTATCTGGATGGCCTGGAATATGGCAAGCTGTCATCTTGGCGCAGAGATTAGCGACCCTCCGGCCATGAGTTTTGAAGCTCGAGAAGCGAGCAGCAGGAGACCAAGAATCTATTCCAGCTTTTTCTTTTCTTGCAGCCTTCTGACGGCATTTGTATTAAATAAGTCTGTTCCATCGCACATGAGCCTCAAATCATACTCCGCACACACAAACCGAAGGGATAAGGCTGTGCCATAGTTGCACGCTTTGCGCAGTGATCATGTCCGACGTCGCTCTCCCAGCCCACAAGGCTTTACATATACAGGCGGCAGGTAGCACACCCACAGGAAAAAGGTGCCCTCCCGCAGCGTGCAGCTACCGGCATCGACCGAGGAGGTTGGCGGCTCGGCCTGGGTGATGGAGTCGAGCCACGTTCAGCTTATCCTCTGCTTTAGGTGCGTCGTACTGCAGGCTGTGCCGTTCTGACAGCTCGCCCGCATTTCGCTTGACTCTGTGCTGCAACCCGTAATAGTGTTCGTGGCGCCACTCACGCACACAAATTTGGGCCGCTTGGTCCAAGATTCAGGGGCGAGCTATGTCAGCTGTAAAAGGCATGCGATTTGTGTTGTTGTTGTGTCCTGACCGAGAAATGCCCATGGGGATAGAGCCTTGTCGGCATGACGGCAGAGCGCAGACCAGTGACGAGGTGCGTCCAAGTTACCACGTGTACGAATGAGAGCGACGAGCCCATCGAGTCCATTTCAAGCCGAAAGGCGAATTCGAGGGAGCAGGAGTGAGAAACTACCCCATCCGCAGCCTGCCGTTTGGTTACCACCTCCAGGGACAGGTCTGAGATGAAAACACTTGCAGCTCGATGGAGTCGCATCATTCACCCCTAGATCGGTGGCAACCTGTATGCCCAAATTGGCCGCTCAATCACCTTGCTTGGATGCCCAGTATGTGACCCGTGTCTCTCCCAGAGAAAAGAGGAGTGGTTTGCAGACAGTATTGCGCCCAAGGTCGCTGAAAGTGCTCCTCCGACTCTCATACGTGCTTTATGTGCATATGGTCTGCGAATAATGTGCAGGTTATTGTATCCAGTCACAAGCAGGGAGTGAATCACAGCAGACTTTGAGGCACGACAGCCGTGCCTATGAAATGTGGTCTGCCCGTGGGCGAGCTGCTCTTGTATGCACATGAAAAAAGGTCAGCATAGTGGATACTTACAATGAATAGATATTATGGTATGAGACTCTGTGATAAGCTTGCTTTTCCATGACAACACCTCGCTTCGAAACAACGCTAGCAATTCGGCCTCTGCGTGCGTACCATCAAAAAACTTGCACAGTCAGGCTTCTTCACTGAGTTTCTGCTTGTTCGTCTGGCTCATGTGACTCGCCATACTCCAGCCCGTCCCCTTTCTCGTCTCGAGAGCTTTCGACCAACGTTTCTGGTCCTTGATAGGCCTTCCCTGGCCATTGAGTCCGAGGATCTCCATCAGCTCAGGTATCTCGGCATGGTCCCTCGTCGTCTTCATCCTATGGCACCAGGTAACTTTCTTCTCTTCCACCAGGTGTGGCTCCTCAACCTCGTCATTGTCATTGTCTGTGACGCTCGTCGTGCGGCTGTGCTTATTGACGGCCTCGCTGCTAAGCTTGCTCTTTGTCTCGCTCTTTGCGTCTTTCGAATCGTTCGCCTCTAGTCTCCGGTCAAACTGCTGCACTGGGCTCCCATCCGGACTCCGCAGATCCACTGGCTCGAAGAGAAACTCCCCACCGATCTGTCTTTGGTCGCCGCCCTTGATGGCCAACCCGCTTTTTATTTGCTTCACACCTTGCACAATGCTATCCAGCGAGCTCTTGAGCAAACTCTTGTTCATATACGCTGGGCGCTGCCCCAGAGCCAAGGTCTTGACCATGCCCAGCTCTTGATATAGCTTCCTGGTAGGGTCCGCGTAGATCGGGTACGGGCAATCAGTCTCAGATGCGTACATGTCGATTAGGGCGGGGTCCCCACATCCTATTACTGCTATGAAGGTGCTGATGGGTAGGCCCAGGAGCGACTCGGCGTTGATGGAGGCGGATAGGGAGCGAAGGTATTCTTGGCAATTCTATTAAAAGTATACCGTATGAGTGATAAAGCCTTTTCTCTCTCTTTTTTTCGGCTGGACATCGAAGGATACAATCAGGTAAGAACTTAAGGTATGGAGAACTTACACCACAGAAGAAGTGCCGCACAAATATGATGAGTACCCTCCGCGCAACATTGCGACCTGTATACAGACTCTTGAATGTGTGCGTCTTTCCATGCCGATCCAACACAATATAGTCGCCTATTCGACGGATTACTTCTGGCGAGGGCAGCTCATTGTTCGTGAGGACCTCGCCCTGGAAGTCCGGTGGATTCACGTCGTCGTCCGCTTGAGCGGCGGCTTGCTCCTTGTCATGTGCTGTTATGGGTAGAGAAGGCTCCAGGGCGGACTCATTCTTTGTCGCAGACCCGTCCGTCTTGTCCGAAGTCGTCATGTGTGCGGCTGAGGTGTCACTGGCATGTTGGCTGGCATTTGCAGGTGAAGGTGTAGTGACCGCATCTGCTGCCGAAGGATTTGAAGCCATGGAGGCTTTTAAATTCTGGGCTGGAGATTGCAAATATGCGCAACGAGTTGAAGATTCCAAAGCTAGAGAGGTCTGCTTGCCCTGTTTGAGAGCGTCTTTGAATGTTCTCCGAGTCAGTCCAGTCGGTAAGTTAGGCCTCTTCGCAGTGTCCGTATTTCCAGGGGTCGCTTTCAGACCGGGCCTGTGACGTAAGTAATGATGTACTGTACATCTATATCTGTACGGCCGCCCTCCAACTTGGAGTTAGACTTGTACATGTACGCCTGATAAAGAATACTAGAAAATCTATATCCGCAAACACAAGGAAGCTGACTTGAATTGAGAGTTCCTCCACCTGCAATTGAGAGCTGACACGCCAGCGCCCATCAGCTATTCTTTGTAACACATCCTCAATGCCTTAGAACTGCTCGCCACTAATCAACGCTGTGTTGTGTTTCAAGTTGTGTACCCGACATGCTCGCTCTCGCTTTACCCTTACCCATAACCATCGATTCAGCCAACCGGTTGATCATATAACATAGTAAACACAAATGTTGATAGGCAAGGCCGTCCGGTATGATGTTCACGATCAATGCATGTTCCTTCTACCATCATGTCCGTGCGGCTGATGACCGCAATAGGTGCAGTGGAAAAGACGTCCAGAACGGAATTTGATGGTTTTCGGTAGTCGACATGGGTCGGAATGCTGCGGTTTACAAGTTCATTGTCCTCTTATTTCCCCCTCCTTCTTATTTTTTTCTATCGTTGGGTTTTCCTTCTTTCCTTTTTCCCTTTTTTTCCCTCGACGTCCCCGCATCCTTTCTGACATGGCTGGGGAGCAACCAAGAGACCACTTTGGGGGGGTGGACAAGAATGCTGTAGTCCAAGCTCCGTTGGGAAAAATCCAGGGGCCCACCTCGTCGTCTTTACGAAGAGTCTAAGTAAGTACCTTGGTAATGATTGAAGCACATTGTCACACGCTCCAAATGTTTTACGGGAGGTCCAAATTGCAGCGTAGCGTAGCTGTGGCGAGTGCACGAAG